GGTTCTCTGAGGTGGATGGGCGCTGAGGTGGCGGAGGAGCAGGAGGGGGGGGAGGCTGTGGTTGAGAGGGATATGTGGGGGACTGGTCTTCCATTCCAGGCACTGGAGGAGGCTATAAGAAAAAAACAAAGGGGAAATCAAGCTCTCAGAAGAAGAGGGGGGGAGAGGGGTACATCTCCGGTTAATAAAGTCACTATGCATTACACCAAACATCACTTTCATCAAATATTCAATTGTGAAATTTGTTCATATAAAGAAATTTGACAGGGTCACTGAGCATGTCCAGGGACTTGATGCTTCTGGGGTCAATAACAAAACTTCATCAATAAGAACTATTCATCTGGAAACTCAGGATACTGTGCAGCCATTCCATTATTTGAAGCTGACTCTCTTGTTCTTTTCTTCTACACAACCGAGTGTGTACTAATGTAATTAACAGTCTATGAATAACTATTAATTTTAAGTATGCTTTACTAAGCAAATTCTTGTAATGTACCTGTCCATTAGAGGCTGGAGTTCCTGGATAAGCACCTGGAGGTACACCATACTGATTTGGTGGATATGCAGCTCCATACTGGAAATGCAGAAAAAGCTTGCTTGAGGTTCTAGGAGCTTTAGCAGTTTGAATTCAGCAAGAGATGTTATTTTGGGCTATATAGATGGACAAGCCACATACAGCTGACAGTGTTAATGTAGTACAAGGCCTGGATTTGTGTTAAAAAGGATTAAGGTAACAATGTTAAAAATGAAAACATTTCTGTACTTACTGGACCCATGGGATAGTAGTAATTATAGGGGTACGTGTATCCAGGATAGTGCTGCTGAGTTTGCTGGTACCACGGATAGTACTGCTGCTGAACAGCAGCAGATTCAGTGACTGCAGATTGAAACTGACCAGTCTGAAATGGCACATATGCACAAACATTTATAAATTCACAAAATGTATTGGCTGTAAATAAGCACACAGCCTTCAAATGTGGCTGATCATACTTTTTCTTTTTTAAAGATCTCATGTTATGTCTGGATTATCTTAGATGGATTTCAATGCCAGATATATATATATGTAGAGAGACAGACACACACAAGGAAATAAAAGCACACCTCTGCTGTGGTCCGGCTGGCTTGAGTAGCCTTAGCAGAGCTCTGACTCTTATTAATGGATGCTAGTGCTTGTCTTGCTTTCTCCCATTCTGGGTTTTCGTGAACCTGGCCATCCCCAGAAGCACCATAAGACCTGCCATTGACAGAAAAACATTATTCAAGGGTATTTTTAAAATGAGTGTGGAAAAATCTGAACCAACTGTGATCAACAGTACAAATGTAAAACAAACCGAACAGTCCTGACACTGACCATTTTAACATGATATAAAATCAAATGTACATATAACGTGAATGAGTGAAGTTTGTCACACGAGCATATATATTTACGACGAAACCCAACGTTCGTTTAAACGATCACACTGCGTTCATTGCTGCCTTCCAAGCAGTTACGTTAACGGTATTTTACATCTCGACTAGTCATCGTGGTTGACAAAACAAGAAGTTAAGCAAATTAACATTAAACTATAGATGCAAAGCTTGTACGGACATGTCAGTTCAGTTCAGTTTAGTTCAGTTGAACAAGTAGAGGTTAACATTAATCAAAGTTAAACCGTAGTAGTGTGCCAACATCAACTTAACATAAACACTAACATAAACGTTAGATGCACCATAAAGAAATATGACTAAGGGTTATAGAGAATATTATCGTTAACATTTGACATTTAATCGCTAACGGGCTAGCTTTCCGTTCGGCCTGCTAAGCTAGTTCTCGTCAACACCCTTATCTGAATTGCTACGAGTTATTCAGGATTTTAGCAAGCCGTTACTATAAAACCTTAAGTATATAACGTCAAATTAGATTAATTTCATTTCACCACGTTCTGTGGGTCGTCAGTAGGTCTAAAGTGCAGCCTACCAGTTAGTCGTCGGTGTTGTTTGTGTCGTGTTGGCCGCCATTTCGCCACAGATTTAAGTTAGCTTAGAAAGCTAAAGCTAGGACAACTGCTCGCGAGCTAACGTTAGGATAGCTGCTAGAGAGAAACTGTGCTAGTGTGGTTAGCTTTAGCTGTCGTGCTACAGCAAAACGTAAACAAGATTAGACCAGCAATGCGGCCAACCATCTGATTACAAGAAAAATAGTAAGGTGATCGAAAATCACTTTAACTATCCCTTCAAGTCAAACTTTAACACACTCTACTGAAAGCTGTATATTCAGAAATAAAGTGAACATTCGCATATTTGCTTCCGTCTTCGTTAACTACCAATTTAATCTGCTCGGTCTGTGGAGACACAAAATGGCAGGTAGGTAAAGTCAGAGCCTTTAAGATACAAGAGTTGCGACATTGAGAGGTCAAAAATGGCAGCAGGTCACGTGATTTATGCAGCAAATATTTCCAAACTGTGGCTCAAGAGCCATTGCTTTCTGTAGGGAACAGTGGGATATATCAGCAGTTACTACTTTTAATGACTTGTACAGCCTTGCAAACTAATTCTGTGCTCTGTGGTTGTATATAGCTCAGCTGATTTAGCTAGTTAACTAGGTACCTAATTATTAAAGTGACCCAATTTTGAAAGAGACTGTCAAAAAGGTTGTCAAACGTGTTTTAACACATGTCGCTAACTTAAAATGTCACAAGTATAATTACTGCTATTAATTTCAGCTTCTTACAGTGGAAGATAGGAACCAAGTAAATGTAACCCTATGCTGCTGCTGCTGCTGCTAATGTTTGGAACTATTTGACGTTTTTGTGGTTTGACATTAATATATATAGAGCTCGTTAGCGTGTGCTGTGGCTGAAACAACAGCATGGAAGCCTACTCTCCTTCATGATCCACTCTGGGTAAAATTGGCCAGCGAAATGACGTCATGCCGTTGTAGATTTAGGTTGTTGTAGTCCACAGTATATCCTCTCAGGCAGAACTCACGCCCATGGTGCGCATGTACGTTAGCAACGATACGTTCACCTTCTACCTCTTATAAATTCCATCAAACAAATTGTTTTGGTTTAGTAAGACCCGTATATCGCTATAAACCATTAGCCTATCAAACGTCAAAAAATGCTGCGAGTTTGGAATGCCTGAAAGAACAAACGCAGGGACTATTTTTCAGTGTACTTCATTTCGATAAAATTGTTGAGAAAGAAAACTGCCACACACTGTCGCCACTAATATCCATATAGGCCTATTATCAATCAATCTTCAGTAACTATTAATCTCAGCATCACCGTATTGTTGTTTCTTCATGCCTTGTCAGCATACTCTGGCAACACTTTATTTCTTTTTAAATTACTGACCATATCTGGGCGGCTGGGTCGTCATCTTTTCACTTATAGGCCCGCTCACTAAAATATCTATCTGTCCATCTATCGATCGATAGATGGACAGATAGATATGTTTATTTATACATACACACCTTTTTTCAAGACTTTACTCCTGCATACACTTTCCTCTTTACTTTCCTGTGATGCAGCAAACAGCTGCAGGATGGGTGTTTGTGTGGCTGTGTGTGTGTATGTGTGTTACAGGGAGTCGGTCATTTCCTGTCAGAGAATCTCTCCCACACTTGATCCCCCCCAAATCTTTAGGAAGTCTCTGTGGAGTGAGTCTCTTGAGAGTGTAAACTATGTTTGCAACTGCTGCACAGTTCGGGAATGTGTAGGCTATTTTGTTCCACAACAACAAACTGTGTCTTTTTAGGCATATAATCCTCTTGGGGTCATACTAGTTGGCTAGCACATTAAACAAAAGTCCTACATTTTTTCTTTTCTTTCATTTATTATTTTTCATGGAAATTGATAGATTTATACATTGGTTCTCAGTCTGACATACTATAATCTTGAATGGAGAAACCAAGTCCTTCCTCTTAAATTTACATGTAAAAAGTATTTGATTTCAGGCTAATTTCAGCTTTTCAGGCAAAGCTTTCAAATGAATAATATGGTATTAACTGTATTTCCAGTCAACATCTCTCAATGAATGAAATCATGTATGTTCTGAATGAATAATTTACTCCCATTGTTGTCTTGATGGCTACATAATTGTACAAATATGTTGAGCATTTGTGACAAGAGCTCTCAACCACTGACTCACCCAGTACCATTGTTCAAATGCCTTGGGTTTGATAACCCTTCTGTTTCTCTAACTCATGGTAGGAAACGGGATAATATTATCTCCTAAAAAAATATCTACTCTATTCCTGTTGTTGGCTGTATATTTTAACATATTTTTATGAGGACTCCTGACTATTTTGTCTGAATGAATGGATGTTGGATTAACTATATGAGTTAATCATATGCCAGATGACAGCCTACAAAAATATTCCATTGTCACCAAAGTAGCGCAGTACATGAGGTCTGACTTTCTTATTTCACAAAAGACAACAGATCTACAGTTAACTGCAGCTGTTAAACCCCGTTAATGCTGAATTCAACACAGTCAAGCTACCATTGACGTCATAGGTTTCATTACTTTTTTCTTACAGGAATTCTGGGAATTTTGGCAATCTCGAGGGAGTTTAGGCAGATTTAGGGGGAGCTTTGAAACAACATTTTAACATTCATATTGTAAAACGATAGTGCTTTATAGTCTGTGACATTTGATAAAAATATAATGTGTATTTTTAAAAGATAGCTTCAGAAGGAGCTAAGGGGCTTGGGGCTGAGTTCAACAGACAGGGAAATCAAAAAGTATTAAGAGCTTGACTGACGTTAGTGCTAGTGTCAGTCTTTTAATGACATTTGCTAACAATAACAAAACTTAGAAAATAGCAAAATAGCATGTCTTATACTTTAGGTAGAACTTAGAAAATTCAACTGAATGGGAACCCAAGAAATAACATTGTAAACCCCAATTAACTATATAAAATGTTTTAGAAAAGTACTTGTTAGGAGTGACAGGACTTTAACTCATGGTCTCATTCTTTCTAAATCCTGACAATTTCCCCATAATAACATCAAATTTAAGTTGATATCACAGTTACAATTTAAACCCAATCTAAATTAGCACACTCCGTCTCACAATTAGGAAACATAACCTTAAAAAGCTGCAGTCAGTGGAAAGCTGACTGTTACGCTCGTTTATTTATTATTTATTATTATTTAACACCGTTTGGTGAAGACGACAGCACTTTCATCCAGCTCTCACCAATAACTGTCGCGTCACTTCCTCGCCCCGTGCCCATCCCTTTGGAAAAAAGAACAGAAAATTCACAGACGAACGACGACAAGAAAAAGAGCGAGGTAAACGTCCTGAGGGAAGCGAAGGCAAAAAGACCGATGAAAAACTTGGATACAGGGGAAGGAGCTGCAAGCAAAGACCAGAACATACGCCTTAAAGTAAGTTTTCCATACTTTGAATGTTTTGGTTACGCGCACTCAAGTTTAACTGACCAGCTGACCTTTACACTAATCCAAACGTTCCTATCACTGCTTTCTCAATACGTGCTTTTCGTAGGCTATAAGTCATAAATGATATATTAATGTAATATAATAGCCTATACAGCTGAATTTCCACTGGAAAGTCGAGGATAGGCCCACTAGCCCCCTCCCATCCCAAGACTAGCCGCACACATACACATGTGCAAACAGTGACACACATTTCTCAAATGTAGCCTATATATATGTATATAGGTTTGTAATGTATGTCATTATTAAGGTGACCCAGTCTGTGATACATTATTAAGTATCCTATATGGGGTAATATTGGTTGCTACCTTTTGATTGATTGATAGATACTTTATTGATCTAGAGGGAAAGTCTGGTATTGTATTAACTATTAATTAAAATGCTTTTTCTTGGCTTCAACAGAGATTGTTTGGTCATGTTGATATTTAAATTTTAGGCACAACACAGGTTCAATGATAAGGCCTTAGATTCTGTTTTTAACTTTGTATACAAAGTTACAGTCTTGTTTTTGTCCACATGCACCCTAGGGTAGAGAAAAGTATGTGCAAGTATTGCATGACTGTTCTTTAAGTACAAGTCTCAGCACGGCCTTCACAGCTGCACCAATGCCAAAATACTCATTGGTTTCCCACATTAATGCACAACATGGAGTTTTTATGCTGCCTTGTTTTATCAGGAGGCTTGACTCCTGTCTCATTTTGGTTTCAGCACATTTTTATATATCTTGTATGCTCAGAGTTTAACTTCCTTCGTTGAGTCCTTGCTGTCTGAAAAACAATGATAATTCACCCCCACATTTTGCCCTTTTCTTCCCTCCTTCAACTTTGTTCACAGTCATGCCCCTTCACAAATCATCCCGGTCCTCTCGCTTGGACCCTACCATGATCTCAGCCCCATTAGGTGACTTTCGCCACACCATGCACATTGGGAGGGGAGGTGATGTCTTTGGGGACACCTCCTTCCTGTCCACTCTTGGCCCAAGTCCAGCTAGCCCAGAACTGGGGACTCCAGGGGTCATGCCAGTTGCTGATGCTGAGGTGGTAATCAACCACAGTGAACTTAATACTGATGTTCCGGGAAGCCCTCAGAACACTGAGCTTCGGCACTCTGAGTCAGTGTCATCATTCACCCTGGACCTGGACCTGGATCTGGGTCCATCTATGCTTGGAGATGTATTAGGGGTGATGGATGGACTGGGGCTTGACTCCAGTGAGGAAGACATGTTCATTATCAAAAGTGACAAATCCTCAGTGGAAACAAAGCAGAGAAATGGGTCCGTGGAGATGTCTGTGAGCATGCAGAACGAACTGAATGGGAAGGACTTGGTTGGGTTGGATGGAAACCAGGTGGGAGACAGCAGGATACCAGATGGGAACGGGATCAAGCCAAAAGGGTTAAAACCAAAAGTGAGATTCAGTGACAAACGAGAGGAGATCATTCGCCAGGCATCTGAAGAGGAAGAGGATCAAGGCTTCGTCCTCCAGCATGAGAATCAGCAGGTGTGTTGCAGTCCAGTGAGGGGTGAGAGTGAGAGGGGCCAGAGCCAAGCAGGTGGAGGTGAGACAGAGTTCACCAATAACAAAGTAGATTTGCCACCTAGTTCTGCTTCATCATCACATAGCTCAGAGTATGACGGCGCCACCCCGCTGGACAGGAGGAGGGTCGACAGCTGCCATTCAGAGACTGATTCAGAGGAGGAGGAGGAGGAGGAGGAGGAGCAAGGACGGGGCTACACATTTGAAGATGAGTTTGATGATGAAATTGGTCTATAGGGGATAGAGATAGGTACGGTTTCCCCTGAAAACATATAGTATCTTTGCTGTTGAGTAAATAAAGTATACTGTATTTTACTAAACTCCTCATTACAGTATCATTTGGATGGGAGAACAGAATATATGTGAATGCAAACTGGATTTCTTAAGACTGAATTAGAGGTAAACTGTTAAGATGATGTTGCTCAACTGGAAAAGACATCTTGTGTTGTTTCTACAGGGTAACAGATTTACTAGAGATTTTGATCAGAAGAAGCTAAATGTCATAGAGGTTATTACAGTGAAAGGTTAGTAGCACTTTCATTAATTTCATTCACCTGGAAGCTTTGCTATGAAACTGCTCAGTGAAAGTTTGAGTCAGGCTAAATGAATGATGCTTGACTCTTTTAATTTTTCTATGTATTTGCCATCAAAAGCACACACAACAGGTGTTCTTCACTGAGCTTCATGTTTTAATGCCTTAAAGGGCCTTGTGCTTACATTATTATACCATATGCTATATCAGTCTTAAAAGTTCTTATAGCATATTTACCACAGCCTCCGTGTCTTTTCTTTATATGTAATGCAATGAAAAGCTTTACAAACAAAGGCTCGCCAGAGCCAATGTCAGAAAGTGAAGTGTCTCTAATTGTCTTGTGTGGATTTGTCGCATTGCAAATCAGAGTTTCTTTGGTCCAGATCTGTTCTCTAAGTGATGTTATTTTGCAAGTTTGCATACCTACCTAATTCTCTCGGGGCTGGACTGATACTAAAATGCTCAGACAATCATTGAATTTAAAGGTCAAATTGTAAATCAGGACCATCTGCGTATGCTTTTTATTTGTATAATCTTGTTTTTGAAAAAATGTTGTATTTTGTAATGCTGTAAAAGGGAGCTGCCGTTCATCTGTTCAAAATGCTGGTTTAAACACATGATCCTATGGTTTAATAAGAATTACAGTGAACACAATAAAACTGTTACTGGGATTTAAAACAACAACAACAACAAAAAAAACCCCACCAGCCTTGGCCTGCAACTCTTTTCTATAAAAATGAAAACTGGAGCAAAAAGAAGTATAAAATATCAAGTGAATTTGAAAATCTCAAGACCTGGATGTGTTCAAAATCAATCCCTATTAAATATAAAGTGCAATATATTAACATATTTACACTAGGGACCTAAAATATAAACAAACAAGCTCGTCTAGACCTGACAGCTGACAGACATTAACCATGTGTAAAGGTAAATCATTATCAGTTTTAGTCTCTATAGAGATGACTGAAAATACTATTAATATAGAAAATGACCAGTCTTATTCTTTCATTGTCTGAAATCAGAATTTACTACTTCCTGTTGAGAAAACTATTGTGACTTTTAGATAAGAGTATCAGAATTTTATGCATAGTCTTTTCTTGGAATAAAAGAAATTCTGCACTTTCCTTTATTGTAAGTAAACTAGTGCAAATAGAACTGACTACCCTCTATCTTCAAAACCATTACTTTGAGTAAAGACAACAGAACTATGGTTTTAAAACACTTTACTTATAAACATGCAATAGGGAATGCCTACCTAATACATCTGTAGAACACACAAGCTACAATAGCAAAGACTATATATGATGCTTATGTTGGCCAGTATATGCCAAAAAAAAGAATTATTACCCCCACAGCTATGTTATGTACAATATTACAAGCTTCTTAACAATGAAGCATATTAATTTACTGCTCAATACACATATGTGGGCCACTCATTCTCAAACACACCACCACCCACATGCACACACTACACAGATATTGTCCTGAACACATTGAATCCTGACAGAGCTGTGGATATCACTACACCAGGCATCTGAGGATGCCAGTGGACCTCCTTAATGTCTGTCTGACCCTGGTGCAGGAATAGTAGTTGAGGGGGTAGGTCCTTCACCCCCTCCATCCTGGCACCCACGTCACTTGACTCCACCGACAGATCCCACTGGCTGACGATGTCATCTGCTCCCGACGCGGCGAACACACTCGAGTCAATGGGGTTCCATTCCACGGACGTGATGGGAGCGCTGTGCTGCTTGAAACTGGCCACAGGCCGCCCAGTCTGCAGGTACAGGTTAAACAAGAATAGTGAGGTGTGACAGCTGTTCAGCACACGCAATATTAGGCCACAACAGGTATCTGCCCTAAAAAGACGATGACTTATACATCCATCTTTTTTCTGCTTTCATTTTCACAAGCTGCAGCAATAAACTGCCAGGCTCTAGGTGAAAGCATAATGTGGCAATTATTCCTACTTCTTGGCATTCCCAAAATGTCTTAACTGTTCCCTTAAAGGCAAATAATTAAAAATGGATTAGGAGGGTGGTAACAACTGTAACAATGATACACTATTGTGTGACAGGCAGAAGATGTAAACAATACCTTTAGTTAGGTTGCCAAATTGCGAAGGTGTGAGATTATCTGATGGTGTAATAGTACGAGCCCTTAACACAATCTCCCATGTAATGGTGCGTTATTTTATTGGGACGACACATACTGATCAAACAGTAAGATCTTCACTCTGTGTCATCTAACAAGTAATAACTCAACAGCTGTATAACTGTCAGCTGAATTACCTTGCATGTGATGAGTGATTCAAGTACCAGTCCAAAGACAGGACACAAATTCCCATTCAATTCAGTGGGAAAATGGGTCCAAACTTTTGACTGTGATTTCAGATAAACTGTAGTTTTTACCTTAAACTGTCGCAGGTCCCATACTTTCAGAATCCCATCATCCCCTCCTGACAGCAAGAATGGTTCAGTCCTGTTCCAGCTGATCACGTTGACATCTGATGAGTGGGCTTCATTGGCTGACAGCATTGAATTGGGTGGTGCACGGATGTCCCAGATGCGAACAGACTGATCCACTGAACAAGATGCAAAAACCTGGGGCAAAAGAGAGATTCTGAGATTTGAGCCTGGGATTAAATTTTTACAAAACAAATAGGTTTTAACTGGTCTTTCCAGACAGGGACATTTGCATCGTCTGGCAAAATACTTTTTGTTTTGTTTTTTTAGCCTTTGGGTATCAACCATTGTCAGACAATAGCATGAACATCCATATACCAAGAACTAGTCTGATGACTTCTCAACACCACCACATAGATAACATATTTGTTAGTAACAACACTGTATTCTACTTAGACCACTCCCATCAGCACACCTTGTTCTTCTGTACAAGCACCTGTAAAGCAATGCTGACCTGGTGAGCTCAGTTTGACATTATTAACCCCTGTGGAGAATCTCAGTGTCTGCATTTGAGATGTTTTTTTCTGTTTAGGATCTGAGACCAGCACAAGGTTTCACTCAGCCCTACAGGGTTTGAACCAAGGTAGATCTTGTGACAATGCTGACCACTACAAACATACTGTAGCTTCAGTAGGCGACCACTGCAGGTCCTCCACAGACTTGCTATGGGAGCTGAAAGGTCGCTGGTCAATCTGCCATGCAGTCCCTCCCTCCCGTGGCTCCCACACATGGATGTTCTTTTTGCAGTCTCCACTGACGAGACGACCTGTTAATAAAACACCAGCACAACACTTGACACTTTGGCTGATAGACACACAGCTACGCTATTACACATTTCTGATCAGAATTAGAAAGCTCAGTTTTATTGTTTGAGGTTGTGCACATTTTAGCTACACCAACATAAAGCATAAGCATGCACATTACATTACTGATGACCACTATGGTGTTTTTTCCTCTAAGGAGGTTACATTTTCTGTAGAATATTCAGCAAAATAACCCATGTTTCAGTGAAATATGGTAGAAAGTTGGGCTGTGGGTCAAGAAGTGATTTAACGTGGCTCTGGATGGAGAGGTTTAGTGATGTTTGTACATCTAATATTTGACAGTTGTCTGCCACAAATAATTTTATTTATAAGCTATTTTGCTGGAAAACAACAAGAAAACATGGACGTTGTAAAATTAACTCTGTAATTCTGGAATTTAAAAGGTTTAGACAGAAACCTCTGATACTCAGGTGACAGAGGGAGAAACACAGCACTACTATATTGTGGGTGCTGTTCTTATGTTACTCAGACACTACAAAGTCAATTCGCTTAATTCCAAATGATAACATGGCCAGAAAGTATACGAGTAGTTTTTTTTCTTGCAGGTACAAGACTCACTTACCAGGTACTGTAGATGACCAATCAACTGCAAAGCCTTCAGTCATATGCCCTGAGAAGCTGAAGAGAGCTGTGGCTTCCTTCTGCTGTTTGATGAAAGCTGCCATAGCAGCAGAACTGTGGACGGCCTCCAGCTGAGGTCGGAGATCAAATATTTCTACCTGTCCCTTCTCTGACCATACGGCAGCCAATGACTGCTCTCCTCTCTGGGTCACCTGGAAGCGAAGACACAAAATCAGGTACTGAGAAACAGCAATATAAGGTCTAGTACTGAAGACCTGATTCATTTATACAAGTCAACATACTCTGACTCTGTTAATCCCTCCATAGTGAGGCGTCATAGCCAGTTCCATCTGTGGCTTCTTATCTTCATCCTCCTCATCTTCATCACTGCTTTCTTCCTCATCTTTTTCTTTCTCCGTTCCATGAAGGTTGTGCATGCGCATAACAAGAAGTCTGCAAGAAAATAGAAGGATGCATTGAAGATGTAGTTGATAAATTACCTGACATACTGTTATTTCAGTGGCGTATACTGTACAGCATGTAACCTTTTAACTCAGAATATTCAGAAGCTAGAAGGTTATTTAAGAAATAAGACTCTAATGATACCTGTTATCTGTATTCAAGTGCTGAGTTTCAGTATGAAACAAAAAATTATCTATACATACAGTGCCTTGCGAAAGTATTCGGCCCCCTTGAACTTTGCGACCTTTTGCCACATTTCAGGCTTCAAACATAAAGATATAAAACTGTAATTTTTTGTGAAGAATCAACAACAAGTGGGACACAATCATGAAGTGGAACGAAATTTATTGGATATTTCAAACTTTTTTAACAAATAAAAAAACTGAAAAATTGGGCGTGCAAAATTATTCAACCCCCTTAAGTTAATACGTTGTAGCGCCACCTTTTGCTGCGATTACAGCTGTAAGTCACTTGGGGTATGTCTCTATCAGTTTTGCACATCGAGAGACTGAAATTTTTGCCCATGCCTCCTTGCAAAACAGCTCGAGCTCAGTGAGGTTGGATGGAGAGCGTTTGTGAACAGCAGTTGTCAGTTCTTTCCACAGATTCTCGATTGGATTCAGGTCTGGACTTTGACTTGGCCATTCTAACACCTGGATATGTTTATTTGTATTTATTAGTCATTTAGGTCAACATTGGATCATTCAGAGATCCTCACTGAACTTCTGGAGAGAGTTTGCTGCACTGAAAGTAAAGGGGCTGAATAATTTTGCACGCCCAATTTTTCAGTTTGGTCTGTTTAAAGCGCAGAGAGCATCATGAAGAACAAGGAACACACCAGGCAGGTCCGAGATACTGTTGTGGAGAAGTTTAAAGCCGGATTTGGATACAAAAAGATTTCCCAAGCTTTAAACATCCCAAGGAGCACTGTGCAAGCGATAATATTGAAATGGAAGGAGTATCAGACCACTGCAAATCTACCAAGACCTGGCCGTCCCTCTAAACTTTCAGCTCATACAAGGAGAAGACTGATCAGAGATGCAGCCAAGAGGCCCATGATCACTCTGGATGAACTGCAGAGATCTACAGCTGAGGTGGGAGACTCTGTCCATAGGACAACAATCAGTCGTATACTGCACAAATCTGGCCTTTATGGAAGAGTGGCAAGAAGAAAGCCATTTCTTAAAGATATCCATAAAAAGTGTCGTTTAAAGTTTGCCACAAGCCACCTGGGAGACACACCAAACATGTGGAAGAAGGTGCTCTGGTCAGATGAAACCAAAATCGAACTTTTTGGCAACAATGCAAAACGTTATGTTTGGCGTAAAAGCAACACAGCTCATCACCCTGAACACACCATCCCCACTGTCAAACATGGTGGTGGCAGCATCGTGGTTTGGGCCTGCTTTTCTTCAGCTGGGACAGGGAAGATGGTTAAAATTGATGGGAAGATGGATGGAGCCAAATACAGGACCATTCTGGAAGGAAACCTGATGGTGTCTGCAAAAGACCTGAGACTGGGATGGAGATTTGTCTTCCAACAAGACAATGATCCAAAACATAAAGCAAAATCTACATTGGAATGGTTCACAAATAAACATATCCAGGTGTTAGAATGGCTATGTCAAAGTCCAGACCTGAATCCAATCGAGAATCTGTGGGAAGAACTGAAAACTGCTGTTCACAAACGCTCTCCATCCAATCTCACTGAGCTCGAGCTGTTTTGCAAGGCGGAATGGGCAAAAATTTCAGTCTCTTGATGTGCAAAACTGATAGAGACATACCCCAAGCGACTTACAGCTGTAATCGCAGCAAAAGGTGGCGCTACAAAGTATTAACTTAAGGGGGCTGAATAATTTTGCACGGCCAATTTTTCAGTTTTTTATTTGTTAGAAAAGTTTGAAATATCCAATAAATTTCGTTCTACTTCATGATTGTGTCCCACTTGTTGTTGATTCTTCACAAAAAATTACAGTTTTATATCTTTATGTTTGAAGCCTGAAATGTGGCAAAAGGTCGCAAAGTTCAAGGAGGCCGAATATTTTCGCAAGGCACTGTATTTTAAATGTCACCATGAACTAACCCTTTAAGTTTCCATCGAAAGAGAAACTCCCACATCTTTCCATGCTGTAGATAATGTCAAAACAAAGCTGAAACTACGCAGGAAAAAAAAAAAAGGGTGCTGTGTTGTGAATCATACCTCCACACTTCCAAAACAAACAATCTGTTGATTGATTCGCATAGTTTGGCACCCACTGCTTTGCAATAAAAAGGCTTTGATGAATAGTACTTCAGTAATATGCATTGCCAGTGGCAACTGTTTGGCACACTGTAAGGAGGTTTGATCAAAAGTATTATTATTTTTTTTTATTAGCAACCATTATTGTAAATGTTCTACAATGTCCTGTGGACTATGATTGATTGACTATTTGTTTCAACTTTATTAGTCTATATTGTAGTGTAAGCTGTTTGTGGTTTTGCATGCAAATGTACATTTGCAATGTAGCTAAAACAGATGTAAAGGCGTGAAAAAGAATGTTTCAGTGTGAAATGGATAAGGTGAAAGTGGCATGAAAATAAGAGACTCAAAGTATAAGTACCTCAAACTTGTACTGCAGTACCTGAGTAAATGTGCTTAACATAGTCCATCAATGACGCTGTAATTAGGGTATCAGTAGTGTTTTGGTCCATATTTAACTAATGTCAGCTAATAACAGTAATTATCTCTAACACGTGTTGAAGCTTGTCCGGAGGTGTGCACCGACCTGTTGCTCAGAGCTGTATCCGCCTGTGTGCCAGCGCAGAGCAGCATAGACAGAGGGAACTGCTCCCTGCCTTCGCCATCTCCATCTCTCAGGATGTCAAAGCTCAAACATGGAGCACCTGAACATTAACAACAAAATCACAAAGCTGACGTCAGCCCACAGCATTACTACTTTCAGCGGTACACCTACTAAATCCAGGTTAAACCTGCCTGTTTGACACTCGTGGTACATGTGGTACGCTGACCGATCCATCTCCAGCTCCTCTCCGGGCTGAAGGGGTTCGATCCCGGGGACATACACTTTCTTTTCCCCTTCTCCTTCGCCCTCCATTTCGTCCCCTTCATCGGCGCTGCCAGTTTCGTCCATATCTTCCTCCTCCTCGCTTCCTTCCACAGCAAACGTGTCTTCTTCGGAGGCAGACATCTTGGCAGAGGTAGTTTGCTTACTTCCGGTAAGTGGAGAGGCCACGTGGTTAATAAAACACCCCGAACTGTCACCCCTCCCATGTGCCCTCCCCCCCTCTCCCTCCCTGTCACCGCCTGGTCACTCCCCACGTTTACGGGAATTCAGCTGGCCTCTTTGGCGCTTGCTCCCTGCTGCCAGGAAACCTCTATAATGAAATATCCATTTTGATATGAGGTGATTTAAATGGATGTTCTCTCCCCCTCCCCTGGAGACCAGACATTTGTTTGAGAAGTCAGATGAATCATTTCCACATTCGGGGTTCATGTACTGACCCAGGACAGGATCTCCCACACAAGTGAGTCGTGGTTATTACATTGATTTCAAGGAACTGTGACACCTGCATGAGCACAGCCTGGTCCTGACACTGGGGGCATGCATCCCCTGTACCACTGATGGGAATCTAGGTTTTTGGCAGCAGCCTCACAGCTACTGTTTAGATATTTTCCGGTAATAGGTAGCTAGGAAATGGGCTTTACTCACAAAACAGGCTATCCACAGTAACACTTGCTCAAGAGTAACTCCTGAGCAATTCAGCTTCACTTTCTTCCTAATTTGTCCAAACTTTTGTCTTCTTGTATGATAACCTCTTTTCTTGTAATTCAATTCATGCTGTATAATGTTTATCCAGTCCTTCTAAATAATGACATAAATGCAATGGAAAAAAGTCAGTGACAACTTGAGATGCAAGCCAAACATCTGTTTCCACTGTGGCCAGTGCAACATACTGTAATGCTATGTTTTAACATTGTGAAACCACAAAGAAGATCACAAGGTAGACACCCGCGCACATTGTGTGTGCAAGCAGGGGCAAGTGCAAGCACCAAGTCCACATTAATTACTTACTAGGCTCCTGACAGGAGGTAGAACAGGAGAGGCTCAACTCCCATACAAAGCACATTCCTCTGCCATTCCTCTCTTATTTTTTTAAGGGTTACAAAACATTTGCAAAGGATTTTTACATAGAGCTGACAGTATGTTGTTGAGTTTTTGTGAATGTGGACAGATGGAATGCTAGGTCATAAACAAAATATAGTAAAGTCTACAAAATATGTGAATAACTAGTATTATTGCTGATGAACGGTACTGGAGAGCATACTTGAATATTTTACTGAAGCAAAAATAACAAACCACACTAAAATACTCTTACAAGTAAAAGCCCTTCATTCAAAAGTTATACAAAAGTAAAGTATTGTAAGTATTGCTAGTTAAATGTACCTTAAGTAGTAAAAGTATTCAATGCTGAAATTTGTTCTCTATAACGGTTACTCCATATACTACTTATATTATTAGATAAGCACCGTTGATGCAACAGTGTGTAAGCATTTCACTGTTGGAGCTGATTTTAAGCTTTACTGTAGGCTAATACATTTTTAGGTAGTTTTCTAACTATGCATCATATTTTATAGAATAATAATAATATGTCTTACATGAAAAATCTGGATTGGACATGTAACCAGTAATTAGAAATGTCAAAAAATGTAGTGGAGTAAAAATGACAATAATTCACTCAGAACAGGAGTTGAATAGAAGTAAAAACCAGTACCTCAAACTGTAATTAAGTACAGAACTTGAGTAAATGCTTTTTATCAATACTGACAAACAGGAAACACCATAATAAATATATTTTGCTTACAACCTTTGGGATTTTATATCCTGGTAAGTTAAACCAAAACTAATAATGCATGTACCTAAATGTCTTTAATTTACATTTATATATAAAAATTAAACACCCACAGACTATAATATCTTACATTTACATAACATTCATTGTAAACAGTGATGATGTCCACATCAATAGATGAGGCTTATGTGCAGTGGGCTGCTCAGCATTTAACTCTTGTTAGCATAGAGCGCATAGCTAGCTGGAGTTTGTGGCCCTGCTCTAGGGAGAATGGCTATACGTTATATATCTGTGATATCAGTTGTTACAGAGCTCTTGTGGACAGTGAACTGAGCTATTTGCATTAACTTTGGACATTAAATGCAACCTGTGCATCTTACTTCATATTAACAAAGCTTACTATCTTAAACACAAAGACACAAATATAAGAAACAATCTTTCAGTGCCAGGAAAATATCTTGCATTCTGTTGTGCTTCATCATCAAAAAGATCCTTTTTAGTAACTACGGCAGCAGCCACCAGTAGAGTCCAAATAGCAAGGGGCTCCAGACAGATGTGGCACATGATAGGGATAGAGGACCGCCACTGGACTGAAGCTGTGTAATGTCTATCATCATGTCAGGCTGTCCGTCCTCCGTGCTTCTGATAGCTCGGGTGGTCAAGAGTCTGGCCCTTGATGGACCGCAGTCCTTCCTTTCAGTAGAGGGCGGCAAAGTGGACGGGATGCAAGTTTCAATCGAAGGTTCGCACCCGAATCTGATCCATTGAGTGAAAAGTTTTGATGTTAGATTGAGGAGTTCTTCTGGAGAGGAAGTTACTGTGCAGAACTGGGCCAAGTCTGTCTCCTCCTGGAATCTCTGTGCCAACGAAGCATGAACAAATAAAGATTTGCAAAGTAAACAAGGGGCTCTGAAACACGGTGACATAATCTTCAAGAGCACAAATGAATGTACTTCAGATACATCCATATTTGAAACAAAAATTCAGACACTTACATTAGCAGTAAACAGCTATGTCAAATAACCACTAGCCTTTTGGCCTTTTTTTGCATTTAAGTGATTTCTTTTAAACTTCAACTTTCTTTAATAGAGTATAGCAACACATATAATAAGATATTATAGTACAGTGTATTTGAAAGTGTTTCCTACCAGTGTGTTTCTGTTCTTATTAATAATTTTAGCCAGTGTCTGCCTTATATCCTGGATTAAAGAGTAATGTAAGTGTTCATCCCAGAGGTTTATGAGAAGCACATTCCAGGAATCCAAGAGGACAATTGCAGCAGGGAACACACAACACTGCGGGGAGAGGTAGAACACAACACAAGATCACCCAAGTTGGGCTTCGCAGCAAAACGTGGCTAATCACCATGAAAACTACATCATTTGCTAAATTACCAGCTAGACCTGGGTCTAAATTGTACAAGAGATTTTTGCTGAACCCAAGAATTTACAAGGCCTGTTAAAGCTAAAAGCTAAGATTTGTCCTGTTAAATTGGCACAAATGTTTTTTCAGGAGAAAGCCGATATTGATAAAACCTGAAAGACCTTAAGATATATAACCCATTACCTAAATTCAAATCTCATTTCCCATTTTTACCTGATAAGCAACTCACCGGACTGTCACAAAGCATGCTATTTGTGTAGTGGTGTACTACAGAGTAATCTTTAGGGAACACCGTCCGCTGGAAGAGAGAAAAGGGACAAAGATGATAATAAACCCAAAGATTAATATTTATAATGTAATTATTACTATGCTGAACTTTAGTAATGTTTGACAAGTAAAAAAAAAAACTGACTTATCAGTTGTGACAGTCTTTGTCATCTGATAACTTTGCAGGTTATCTGATGATAATGTACTCATTTTTTAATTTCATTACCTCTGGCCACCTTGTCACACCAAATAACTGAATAGTAAATAGAGGTTTAAAGGACAGTAAAAATATTTGATAGGCAAAACAGAAAATATCATTCCTACAGAGAGGATGCTGAAACACCAAAATGAGCACCTAAACTCAAATCAAATGTTTTTAACTTACAAATCCAATCGTATTAGAGTCGATAGTTGCTCTAATGTTTCTCACACTTTCCAAGTCAAAGCCACATCCACTGCATTGGACAGTCAAGAGTGATAGCAACAGCAAAACTGTTTGAGACATGAGTGAGGAGGAAAGAGGTAGAACACATTCAGATAATTGTGGAAACGTTCTGTGGTTTTAGCTTGTCTAGCTGCTTACCTACAGTACTAAGAAAGATTACATCATTTCCTGTGTCAATTAGATAATTCTGCAGGAATGTACTACTGCAACCTGAAATGCTATTGTAACAACACAATACTGACATAACAAATCAGTTTGAATTCAAAGATTAACCAGTTCTAATATCTCATTATTTACCTATAGACCATAAGAACAGCAATTGTGAGAGGCATTAGCATGCAGATATTTCTCACCTGGCAGTGACATCCTTTCTTCTATCTTTCTAAGAATGGACAGTTCTCCATTTTTCTTGTTGACGGCAATCACCCTGCAGACAGGTTTCTGTGTCAGTCTGTCAAAGCAAAGTTTCCTCTCTGTCTACTCCTTCACAGCTTAGGCTTCTGTTGACATCCCTTATACTTTTTTTCCTTCTGAGTTCCTTTGGTACTTTCCAAAAAATGCCTGTTTTATCCTCTCATGCCATCCTACTCTCTCACTTTGGATTTTCCCACTTAAGCCTGAGTGGCTGCAGCCTTTCCCTGTCAAAGCTTTTGTTTGTTTTTCTCTAGTGACAATGTGCTTTTCTCTTCTCTTTCTCCCTTTCGCTACTGACCTAGAATCGTCCTGAACAGCCTAATTTGAATCACTCCCTTATTCCTCGAAACTGGTTAATGGATAATGCGGGAGAAACACTGGCCTTTTCTTCTCTGTCCCTTTTGCTCTGGCCACTCTCTGTATCCTCACCCAGGCACAGGCTTTGCTCAAAGTGAAACTGCTATGCTGGGTGGCTTGCCTGCTCTTTAAGTCTCAGCCCCTCCCACTGTCACGTTTTACTTCACTATTGACTGACCCGGTCCCCTCCCCCTGATCCCCGCATTCCCTGACAGCCCCCTTCTTACCCCCATCCTCCCCCTCCAAACCAGGCTCTTGGTGTCTTAGTCATGCAGTTGGAGCGTATGTTTTTCATTTGGACTCTCCCTCATACCTCTGCGCCTGTGGATGCCTTTAGGCTTTATCCCTGGAGTGTCACTGTGCAATGTCATCCTGTTTAATCATCACATGATCATTAAAAAAATCCACAGCAAAAATCAAGAATCACAGTCCTTGAAAATTGACAAAAAGGGTTGCAACACAGCATCACCACAACTTGCCAGTCATTCTATGTGTGACAGCTGTCTTTAGTCATTACTGTTAAAATCAGCTGCACAGCAGTGGATGGCATCTAATATTGTGCACAGCTGTCATCACTCTGTCTGTAATCTGTTTTTCTGCACCCTCACATTATGTGAAGCATTGTGTTATTTTGGATTTCACTTAAGTGTCAAGAGAGGAGTTAATTACTAATACATGGGAGGGAGTGCACAGTTGTTCTGTTCTTGTTCTAACAGGAATTGTTCTCGTGTCCTTTCTTGAATACACACACCCAAGGAAGCGAGACAAATTCCCAGTGTCCCATCTCTGCTGAGTGAAACTGGAAAGCAGCAGCCTCATTGCAAGCAATCCATTGACACTCCCAGAGGCACCATCATTTCGAAACCTCCTCACCTAGCCTGTGTTTTAATAGTAAGTAGAAATATGCAGCCATGTGCCGTCTTCCTGTTTCATGTTTCACTTGCTTACTGGGTAAGTAAATATGTAAGTAATTTGTGGAGCTGCTGCAAATTATGTTTGTGCTTCTGTCAGTGAAACTTGTAAAATGAAATCCAGATTTGAGAAGGATGTGGAAAAACATAAACTATGTTAGGCAACACTACCACATTAACAACGTGGAGCTAATTCCTTTGATATGGAAAGTGACAGACATCCCTAATATTTACTAACTCAGTGTTCTTTCAGTGTGGACTAGACTACGAGTTCGATTTTTTAAGCAATCACTACATAAGTATGAGCAAAGGGAAAAAAAACAGATCCCTAATTTAAACAAAATCATATGTTGTTGGAATTTAGTGACCTAAGTGTGTGAGATTCAGCACATCAACAGGCTCAAATAATTATAGCATGCAAAGAAAAGCACGGCTCTTCAATGGAATAGTGTGTGGCTGGCTCATTAAGGAGCCAAAACCCTGCTAATGTGGTCAGTAATACTGGACCGAGTCTGTCTTATGCAACCGTTTGGTACATTTAGAAAAAACAGAAAACCTTAAAAGTGTTGTCTTACAACACTTGAGACTCAAACAAGTGAGTGGGAGCTGGTGGAAAAATGCTGCTCTCCTTTTCCTCCTCCCCTTCATTCTTCCTGTTTGCCACAAGATGGAGCCGCATACAGTTCACATTTATTTATTCCATTTTAAAACATCAGTAAAAGAGTAAAAGTGCAAAGCCTTTTAGTAATAAGTTAACCTTTATGAGTATACCTACAGTAATTCCCTTTGAATTGTATCATACATGATCCAAACTGAGTGAATGTGTTAATCTGTGCCCAACAGATTACTCATTACTTAAAAAAAGATTCTAATAGATGAATCAAAGCTTTCCTGTCATCCAGTCAGTCTTCACTGCTTCCATTTAAAGTCCCAAGCAGCTAACAAAACTGATTTATGCTTTCACTTTCCCTTCTTTTCAGCTCCCTTTGCCTCCTCCTCCTTCCCCCTTGTCACTGGCTGAGACTCCTCTCCCCTCCTCGGACGGCTGTCATTAAATGACTCTTGTAGGTCTTGCTGAGTCCAGTCATCCAGAACTTGAGCAGCCTGACATTGTCTTCTTCGCCGGGCCCCGTGGCCCCAAGGAGGGCCAGAACCTTCTGGGTGTCCTCCCTCCCTCGCCCGTCCACTTTGGAGAACTTGAACAGCACTTTGACTTTACTGCAAGAGCAAGAATGAGCCATGAGCAGGCTTTCACATGCAAAATTATGAAATCTTACTTAAACCCAAGTAGTCTTCATTAAGAATGGGTAAATGTTCCTCACTTCATCCACTCTTCCTTCAAACACAGCAGGCAGTGAGACACGACATCCACAGACAAGTTCTCATTAGACAGAGCCACCTCAAGCTTGTTCAGTAGCGTGGGACCTGGATAAAAAAAAAAGGACAAAGATGCAGCCAATCAGCTGTTTGAAAATTCAGCCATATGACCTTTATTCTACAGTTCAGCCTTTTTTCCAGAGTTAACCTTTACATATCCCTGACAACTTAAAACCTCTAATAACAAGGTCTTTCTTTTGGTCCCTTTAATCCATGTTTATGTCTAAACCCTGCTGATAACATAGTTTTGAATGAAAAGTCAATAGAAAGGTCCACAGTTCAGTAGAACACATCAATACCGTCTGATGTGGATCCAGATCCTGGAATTTTTTTAACACTGTGGAATGAGACATGTCTTTCACTTTCACTACTGCTCTTAAATGAAAAAGAAATCTGGCTCCAATAACCTATCACTATGCATATTCTGATGCAGATTTAGACAGAATGATGATCAAGAATCCCCAAACATTTTCTGTTATTAAGGAAAATTAAAAAGTCAGCACAGGGTTGTCTAAAGTATGTACACTGAACTATGTATTTTTTGACATTCAAAGTGGCAACAGACTTACAAAGTAATTATAAATTCAGGTATGGACACTCACCTCTGTCTGTGGGCTGTGTGTTGGCACTGCTGATGCTGAACTGGTAAAGTGAGCAGATATCGTCATCACCTACCCCTGAGATCGGACAGCTTCTCTCCGAAGCGCTGATGTCCACCAGCACTGAAAACTCTACAGGACAAACAAAGGGAGGATCAAATCAACACAATATGAACTGCATGCACAAGACTATAATTTGACAGAAGATGTTTGAGGTTTGGAATTGTCATCTACCACAGCATGAACTGAGATGTTCTTGTACCTGAGGAGCTGACGTGAGTCGGAATGGGCACATCTGGGCTCAGACCCAGGAAGTTGCATTTGTAGGCCTCCTCATACTGTGCACTGTATGGCACAGATCGTACGCAGCCGACTGGGAGCAGAGACTGATGAGGGAAAGGAAAAATATTCACATCATAAACATGGTTGGCTAAGTCAGCATGTTAATGGCTCTGCTCAACCACTCAGCTAATCTGGCTAATAGGTCTTTTTGCACCAAAGACAATTCTATATGTCACAGTTGGAAGTAATAAAATTCATGATGGGTGAATTCCATTTAGCTGCTTCAGGTTCAGGGTTCTGGTGGTGCACTCTCTGGCTCAATGACATATTGTCATGGCTTACTGGGTCAACAGCTCTACACAACACAGCAAGTGTTAATGTTATAAGTAACACCTGTGCTTTTCTTCCTGCCACAAGTAAAAATGTCTTCTGGGAAACAACAGAAAACACGCAACAGTGAAATTAAAACAGTTTCAATTATAATAAACAATATTTAAAACTATATCAAAATGATCACAAAAATAAGACATCTTTCATCACTAAAAAGGAACAATACTGTATAATGAAAACATGTACATGCTCTGTTTCAGAAATACCTGAAGCACAGTAATCGGTTCACATCATAATGGTTATAACTTGTATTTGTAATCTTTAATGAAGTGCATTTCACAAGTAATCTGTCCAATTCTGACAACATTAAACAGGTGTGCTTAGTGTTAGATAATCATAACTGTAGGTGTGTAAGTCTAAAACAAACACTTTAGCTTTACATGCTAATGCTACCAGAGGGAAGAATGCCACTGTATCAGACTTTTAACTGCTGAGAGCTCCTCCGTGGCTGGCTGTTTGAAACAACTATTCACGTAAAAAACAAAAAAAAAGCTTCTTAAAACATCTGCTAGGTGGCAGGTTGTAATAATTTATGGACCATATTTAGACAACACTGTGGAGAGAGCTGGAATATCAACACAAGGGCAGTAAATGGCAGAGAGAGACACCATATCCTGTCCCACTTTCATTTCAATGTTTACAGTCTTAGCTAGTGCACCTTTAACTAATAAAATGTTATTATACTGTGGCTAAATTAACAAGGACCCTAACAGGTTTTATCACTTGGCCTAATTCATATTTAGCAGCATCATAATGACACTGTCTCTCCTAATGAGGCATGCACAGACATAGCAGTAGTGTAGAGTACCTTAAGCACTGTAAATGCTGACTGGATGAGCCTGGGGTCTGCACCTCTCCATATGACCTGATTTCCCATGAGCACGTGCCAAGCTAGCTGACGAAACTCAGCAGTCCCAAGGACCTGCAGAACAAACCAATGGATATTAACTGCTTGAACCATCATTAACTAAAATGTATCAGATTCACATCATCCATCATCTATACCTCTTATTCCTGGTGGGGGGGTATTTAAATAATATTTTTCCTTATCTTTTTCCCATGTTCTGACAGCTTACACGGTTAGTTTCCTGTAATTATGCACAACAAAATGACAAGCTAAAAAAGTACTTACCTGTCTCAAGTGCCTCAGCGACGTAAATTTTGGACCAGGTAATTCATCTACTTTTGCATCATCACACAGGAAGTCATGGCCCAGCTGGCTCCCTGATCGATGCTGTTGTGATTTTGAACCACCTCCTTCTGCCCCCTCCCAGCAGCTCATTTCTTCCTCTTGCTCTTTTAGAAACACAAAAGGACATAAGAAACAGAAGTAGAGAGTGACCAAAGGCTTTCAAGCCAACGCACGTTATGAAAGCGGGGGAATTCCACTGGAAATTATTACTAGTGCTTGAATCTATAGTAGGCTCTATATATAGTGTGTGATGTGTACAAGATGCTACTCACCTATTTCCAAAACAAATAATACATACTGTACAACCTCATTTATTATCTATGACTAATTTCATACCTATGCTAACAGACTGCTGCTAATATGAACTAGCACATGATGGAACAGCCTCCCCCACAGTACCAGGTTGGCTGAGTCTGAGTATTTAAAAAGTTTAATTATATTAAAAACCTATTTCTATGAATAGATTTAAACATTTTTAATACCAGTTTTTCTTAATCATAATTTCTTTAAATTAGGTTTTGTATATTTAATGTGTACTAAACTCAAATAACCTTCCTTAACATGAGCCATGCTGGACTGGGAAAGGTCTCTATAAATCTGCATCAGTTGTAAAATCTTAACTAAAAATTGAGTAGGGTGGCACAATAGTACAGTGGTTAGCACTGTCACCCCACAGCAAGAAAGTCCAGGTTTCAAACCTCATGGGTGACCTTTCCATGTGGAGCTTGCATGTTCTCTTTATGCCTGAGTGGGATATCACCCAGTACTCTGGCTTTCTCCCACAGGCCAAAGCCATGCAGGCTAGGATAAGACTCCAAACTGTCTGTAGGTGTAAGTGATTGTCTGTGTGTCAGCCCTGTCATAGACTGGCGACCTGTCCAGGGTGTGCCCAGCCTCTCACCCAGTGTCAACTGGGATTGGCTCCAGCACTGCTGCGACCCTCTACAGGATAATCAGTACAGATAATGGCTGGATGGATAAAAGTGTAAATCCTTTCTGGAAAGGCAGTGCATTTGAATCACTCTGTTTGAATCATATGAATCACTGTTTTTCTGACCACAGGTGAATCACTCTGTTTGAATAATATGAATCACTGTTTTTCTGACCACAGTGTCTCCACATTCTGGCCACAGAATCTGAGTGAATCATACTTTCACAGAAGAATGATAAATAAATCCACAGTGAACACTGTACAAACGCATGACATCTGCTTATATCACTCTAACAAAAAAAAACGTACTCACTTAAAGAACAATGGGCCTCATTCACAAACAATGCGTAGGCACAAATCTGTGCTTAAACTATGTGTATGAACATGTTATGCACAAATTCAGGATAAGTCATTATTACCTAAAGTTGTTCTTACTCTGCAAACAAATTTACAGCTGCCACAGACCATGTATATGAACAAATGATCAAGGCCTGGCTGTCTCAGAAAATGTAAACACACATTTTAAGTAAAACTGCATTCATTAAAAAGACTTTTATAGTTAATATAATCAATATAATATAAAGCTTTAACCATTTATTTACAAATGTGCTAACAAAATGTATTCCCTTTCATTCTTATCCATCACAGTTATAATTAAAATATTCAACTATTCTAGTCCCATTGTATTGTTTTTATTGACTTGGCTCATAATGATCAAATGCTCTTACCAATTTCTAGTGCCATAACACTATGCATATGTAGCCAGTGTTAACTGTTAGCCATCTGATTAATGTGCAGTCTATTAAAAGGCATGCCATATCCAATTTAACTCCACGAAAGAGGTAAGATGGCATATGGAGCGTTTCTAGAAGATACTACAGCCTATTCCTTTAGTAGAGAGTGCATCTCCAGAACTGACAAAACACGTTTGAAGAGAGTGACAAATGGCTTATCAGCCGTTACCATAAGTTTAGATGTAGCTATGCTATTCCCTGGGATGGCAAGTCATCTGACACACCGCTCTCACCCTCCTCAGATTCAAGTCCTGTCATGTCCTGCTTCTCTCTCGCAACTTCACCACTTTCTCCACGAGACACTCCTAAGCAAGAGTATTTATTATATAAAGAAACTGGGGTGCGGCAGTATGCTTACTGTGAACTGCGGGCACACACCTGTCATTTTAAAATGATTCTGATTTACTGACTTACACATGGTGCTAAGAACAAAATTAGCTAGTGCAGACGTTTCATTAATCTGATGGTAATTTTGCGTGAGCATTTATGTTGTACGCAAGGTAAGAACATCTCAGTGCACATATTAGTGAATGAGGCCCAGTGTGTCTACCTGTCTGTCTTTCAATGAGCACCAGCGTGTCTTCAGTGGGGGCCCCCTCAAGCAGCTTCTCTGTCAGACGACTACCACAGGCCTTCAGCAACCTGGAAATGAGGTGGAAAAACACATCAGCATGTTCAGGTGAGTGATAATAAATCAGTCACATGAAAAAGGTCCAGCATCTTATTCTATATGCTGTATCAGAATGTGACTGACAACATATCGACTCACCAACTAAAGGAGGAGTGCAAGCTGGCCCAAAGGTTGGGATGCTGAGTAAGAGAAGTTAGTGACCGGGCTGCATTGCCACTCCGTTGATGTGGGAAAACTGCAGGTGAAAACGCACTGTTCATCCTCACAGCTCGCTGGGGGCAAACTCCTTGTTCTCTGTCAAACACCTGGTGGAGAGTACAGTACCATGAAATCAGGTACATATTTGAGTAAACTGAGTAAAGGCATGTAGTGTCCATATGTGTGCCCTACCTTGAGGGCAGTGCTTTGCAGGCTCTGTATAGTGAGACTAAGGTGGCGTAATAGGAAAGGCCAGGAGTTGATTAGGTAGATCCTGTCCATGGCAACTATGACAACACTGTACCAGCGCTGAAAACCCCTGGCCAGGCTGTCTTTGATAAAGAAGGTGTGTGAGAACACAAAACCGTGCTGCTCATCTCCAAAGAAAATTGGCCCTTCACGCCCTTGACATACCTGACAAACCAGAAACAGACAAAAGAAAGGAGGACGCATATAATAATAAGAAGAAAATGGATTTGTTTATTTAGTGCAAGATATGTTGACACGTTCACACACATCACTGTTTACCTCACAGCTGAGGCTCCGTACACAGGCCTGGCGGACCACGCTGAAAAGCTGTGGCTGTCTGGGATGCTGATGGCTCAGGAAGCGTATGCCTGTTTCATCGTCAATACTTACAAAGCCTGGGTGAGATGCAGGGAGAGATCGACAACCCTACAAGGCAAGGAGAAGAGGAAAATGAGCACTTTGAGACAGGTGACAGGACTATGGATTTGTCTACATACAGTGAGGAACAGAAGTATTTGAACACCCTGTGATTTTGCAAGTTCTCCCACTTATAAATCATGGAGGGGTCTGAAATTCACATTGTAGCTGCATTCCCACTCTGAGAGACAGAATTAAAAAATATTCAGGAAATCACATTGTATGATTTTTAAAGAATTTATTTGTCTTGCACTGCTGAACATAAGTATTTGAACACCTGAGAAACAGCAAGAATTCTGGCTCTCAAAGACCGGTTACTGTGACTTGAAAAAGTCCACCTCTACTCCACTCATTAATCTAAAGTAGTAGCACCTGTCTGAGCTCTTTAAAGACACCTGTCCACCCCACAGTCAGTCAGACGCCAACTACTACCATGGGCAAGACCAAAGAGCTGTCAAAAGACACCAGAGACAAAATTGTGGACCTCCACAAGGCTATGGGGCAATTGCCAAGCAGCTTGGTGAAAATAGATCAACTGTTGGAGCAATTGTTAGAAAATGGAAGAGGCTAAAGA